AAACATACAGCTCTATTAAAAATGTTAATTTAGTCAAACCTATATGCATTTTTTAATATGTTGAGAATAATATAGTTCAGAGTCATTACTGTACAATGTATATACATACAGAGCTGAAAAAAATCAGATGCTTGATTTTTTAATAATTTGCATATTTAATATTACAAAATACCTGGCCTTATTCCCCATACTAAGAAAGTCTGAGCTGATCTTAATGGCCAGATTAAGAAAAAAATTGTGACAGATTACATTTCTGTATTTTTGGCTGGAATTTGAGTTTGAAATGACAAACTGGAGGAATATTTCATAGAGAACATCTCCTTTGACTGAGCTTCTTCAACTTAAAATAACTAGAAGGTGACAGGACAAGTTTGCCTCACTGGTTGGAAACAATGAAAAGTCTAAGATGATCAGGGTGGGGTTGAGTGCAATTCAAATACAGCTATGTATAAAGTTTTCTTTTTCTTTTCCACAGTAGTACAAAGTAGCCCTAAAAAGCAGTTCTTCTGACAATAATAGAGGAAATATATTTTTGAACATTTGCACTTTTTTAAAGGGTTATCCATTATTATTTGTATGTGCTGAATTTCCATTACATTGAAAAATTACAAATATGAATGGCCTATATTAATTTTCATACTTCATATTAGAAACACAAAAAATGTAACTGTTTTTTCTGGAAGAAAAAAACCAACATTCTACTCACCTAGAGTTATGCAAGAACAAGAAATCCTAGTTTGTGACACTTGTTGGATGGTGAACTGTTATAGGTGAGGGAGCTGATGTATAGCATGACCTGAGGCCACTTCATAGTTCATCTTTCCTTATCTTCCATTTTTGTCATATGCTTTGCCCCAGTTTCCTTCCAGTCAGCATATGACACAGTCAGAAACAGAAAAGCAGTTGAATTCGAGAAGAATAAGGGGCCTGGCTTCCATCCTGTTACAGACAGTGCATTAGGACACGTCTGAAATTTTTCTCCACGTAATATTCTGTATGATATTCTTGCAGATCACAATTTTCCATCTGTTTCACATATATGTATGCATATATATGTCTGTGTGTGTATATGTATCTCCAAATATATTTGATGGTGAGGAATGTGATGTTCTGGAGAGCCAAACCTCAAACTTGGTACACAAGGGATGGGAGGAAAGTTGTAAACAAACTATTAAGTGCACATTGATTCTGGCATCTCTTGGCTGTATTCTGTTTCAAACTCTTTTGGCAAAAATACAAGCCATGTCTAATAGCCTGGGCTACACAAATAAAAGCTTCTTTTGGCCCACCCTGCAAACAGTTTGGCCATAAGCCAGTTGTGGTTCTTAAACCATATGGCCACATAAGCTCAGTCACAGAGCTGTGCTAATAAGCTTGTCATCCATAGCAGTTCTCCCTGCAGTGACACCCTGGAAACATAAAAGTTATTCATCGTCTGATCATTTTTTTTTTATTCTGTTCTGCCAGCTCCCCACCCCTGAGGCGCTACTCAGTTCTCTAATGTAATCTCCTTTTCTTATTTGTGTGCACATACCTTTGCATTGTTAGATATTAAAAAGCATACTGCTTAAATGGACCCACTGTGTACAAGCCAGGGGTGACCTAGACTGCTCTGTGCTTTGTATCACACTATTCTGAAATGCTGGGTAATTAGCCATCTTAGTTAATCATCTACAAATCTTGTTAGCAGTGGGTTCTTTATTTTCTTCCAGACTGTTGCTTAAGATTTCAAGTGTTAAACTGGGAAGGATGCTGCTGGAGAGTCTGCTTGAAGTTTCATGTTGACTGATTTATTTTGCTTTCTCTTCAGTTAACTAGCTTGTAGGCTATTTTATGTGTTCTCTATTAATCACTTACATGGAATAAATAATGGTGTTATTAAAGAGAAGAGAGAAAACCAAGCAGGTTTAACAAAGGAAGGAAAATGGAGCATATATGAGTTCTTGGTCTGGAGGTTTTGGTAGAGACTAATAATGTTTCACTTTGGTAGGCTTGTACATCTGGTTATCTCTTATAATCAAAATTACTCACTTCAAGCTTATGTCTTATGAATTTCAACTCTGTTTTCTTTACCTTTAGTATTCTATTTTTTGTATTATCTGCCAACTATATCTGTAATTACCTGAGGTGTATGAATTTGCTCCAAGAATTGCTTGTGGCATCTTCATTCTGCTTAGGGCAACTACGAAACTCTGCCATGGTGATTGCAGCCTTGCTGGCACTTTTTGTAACCCAGTGCTCACTGTTGGTCAAATTACAGCAGTACCTTAGGTGTATAGCAAAACAGTCCTCGTGTCCATATACTGTGTGTCATATGAGTGTGTATTGTAATTGCCTAGCAATAATCTGCCTCTTGTAGACCATGACTGCTGTGTAATTCCTTGAGAACATTGTGTAGGAACTAACATGAATAATAACTGTATTTAATAATTTATGTGGTGTGCTTTGAGAAGCATAGCATATATAAGCTTGTGAAATATTTGATCTTATTCCACAATAAGAAATGTTCATTTAACTTCTTTCCATTACTTCCCCTCCTCCCCCCCACCTTGTTTGTCTGACTGGTTATAAATGAACTGTTCAGCTACACAGTTTCTTTAACACTCTTAAGTTTGGATTATCCTGTTGGCTAACTTGGTGTAAACTGCAGCTGTTCACAAGTCATAATTCTGGCCTTTAAACTGATATACTTTAAAAATACCTTCTGTGTTCTTATATCTTTTATGAAGAATTTTGAAGTCTAACTGTTCAAGACAAACTTGACTATTTAGTTGTCACATTCATTGCTTTATTCTGTTCTCTAGAGCCTTCAGAATAATAGCAAAAGTTGTTTCAAATAAAGTAAGATCTTCTTGAGATTCTCTCATTTTCTTCTGTCTGCCTTCTTCTGTCTATGCTCTAAGCAGGCCATATAACCCAGATTTGGAAGAAAAAAAAAAGCATAGGAAGCAGGTGACTCCAAGGGCAATTTCTTAGTAAGGTTCAGTTCTCCTTTTCTGACTCAGTAGTGAGTTGCAGCTCAAGTACTAATCCTTAAAATTGAAAGCTCAACTGTTTAGAGATGGTGTTAGCTGTATTACAAGAGGATTATCACAAAGAATGTCATTGCACGGTGAGCCTATCACAATCCACTCAAGCAAATCAGGTTATAGATGATTTTTCCGTAAGTAGAGCTCAGTTGTAACAGTTCACCTGGAGCTGCTTTTGTTGTACGGAATTACTGAACATCTCCAGAGCCTTTGCAGTAGTGTTCTTGAGCACATGTCCTCCAGCAGTTTTCCACAATCGCTCTATACAAGTTAATTAGTCAAGTTTAAAGGAATGTTTTTTCCTTTAATATGCAAGAAAGACAGCCAGGCTCCAAATAAGCTCTGGAAACATGTGATATCCTTCTTGGAAAAGTATGCTGCAGTTTTATTAGTGGAATATCTGGAGGAAAGCTTATAGATTACTTCCTTCAGAGTAGGAAAGGGTCATTCCAAAAAGGGTGGTATAAGCAGTTAGCAGCTGCTAAAACAGAGAGAGCATCTGGTTCTGTTAAATGTACCAAGTAACATTTACAATAATCTCAAGTATTATTTTGTTTAAGATGATACAAATGGAAAATTATTTTCTACCTGGAAGCTTAAGTTAAGAAAGTGATGTCAATCCTGCTTTATGGAAGTCTCCAATCACTCTTCCATTTCATGAGGAAGCAGAAAAGTTTTATGGTAGTAAACACAAGAGTCAACTGAAATAGTGGATTTCCTACTTAAGTGTGAATAATTCAATTCTGATACTTGATTAAAAAAAAACCCTAAGTTTAGTTTTTAATCATATATTTCAGAGGCAGGATGATAAATTCTGTAAAGTTAGTTGTAGCTACTGTCTTTGTATTCACCCTGTACAATCAATTCCTGAACGAGTCGTAAACTATCCACTCTAGTCATTAGTCCTGCTGGGAGAGAGATTGGACCTCATGACTTCCTCTGTTCCTTGCAACCGAAATTATTCTGCAATTCTAAATGTTTACTTCTGTATTTAAGGTCTTCTCTAAAGAATATCTCAATAGTAGTTTGCATTCATAATAAAGATTGCTGGAGCCAAATTCATAAATATAAAATTAAGTAAAGTGGCTAAAGCTTAATTTTTTATGCTATTCAGTAAGTAGGAATTCAAACTCTTCTTAGACAATAATGGTGTTTAAAAAGGTCTTTGTAAATTTGAAGGAATCATGGGAAAGTCATTTGAGTGGCTTTATTTTCTCCCCAACCATCCACATTACCCTTTTCGTACAGGATCATGAACATTTAAACCATGTCAGAGTGAACATACTGATCATATTTAATCTTGCAGTGTTAGGTGAAGGCTAGTAAATTGACTCTTATCCATCTCCAGAAAGATGCTGCTTTTGCAAACAACCAGAACTTGCTCTGAAAACCGATGTCTGTCAGTCTATCCTGAGCTGAGAAATTCAGATGTGGGCAAGTTTGCCTTTGCTCCCCCAGTGCTATCCTGTGCATTTTGCATGGTGATGCACAATATCAGAAAAAATGTTTTTTCACAAAGGATGCTTCCTAAAGGGCTTGCTTAACTGAAATGTGATCACTACTTATCAGCTTCTTAAAGCTTTATGTAGTATAAAACCAAAAAAGCAACTGATTTTCTTCACTCCAAGTTGGAAGAAATGGTCATTTCTCCATTTACTGAGACTCGTTGTCTTCTGTGCATCTTTTACAGTGAACTGTTCCATCAGTGTTTAAAAATGCAAAATCATGTCTGCAAAGGCAGTGCATCAGTGCTCTTCAAAGCTTCATCAGTGGACAAAATACTTAAATATTATGATGCTGTATTGTGACATGGCAATCAAAGTTAAGGCTGTGAATTATTAGTTGCCTACTTGAATACTTACAAGCACAATTTTTAATTGGATTTTGAAATTAGAATTAATTTAAATTAATTAGGTCTAACTGAAAAGCCTTCTGTTGGAAAGTAAATCACTGTCTCTTCATGTATTTCAGGTAACATACAAGGAGCAACAATTGTGGATGCCCTTGATACACTATACATCATGGAAATGAAAGAGGAATTCAAGGAAGCCAAAGAGTGGGTTGAAAAAAACTTAGATTTCAATGTGGTAAGTAATGTTGCTGATTAACATTTAAGAGGGGCCAGTTGAGGACTGAGTTTTAATATTGCAAGCAAGAAACAAGGCTACAGAATTTAGATCGTTGATAGATAAAACAGGGCAGGAAGCTGAAACATATTAAACTTATTGTTCTGCTTAGACGCAGTTTTTCACTCCAAGAGATTTAGGTAGATAGGAGGCAATGAGCTGGACTGAAGGAAGGAAGGACAAAGGAATGGAGTATTATCATTGTAAAGTAAACAGCAGAAAAAAAGCCCTCTGGATAGAAGAATTGGGACACTTCAAGCATTAATTTTGTAGTTATGTAACCACTATACGTTTTCACTTTGTGAAATCTTCCACAAATTAGACTTGCATTTTAAGAAAGCTACACACCATACATACAACTTAAGTTCCTTCCTGTATTCTGGTAAAGTTGAATCCCACAAGTTAGGCTGAACTGTTGACACAAACTGAGCTGCTTTAGTCTTATGAGGCAGCAGGTCATGACAACTGCATGTACAAGTCATCCTATTAACCGGTAAATATGCAGCTAAGAGCAAAGTTCATTATTAATTTTTTTATTCTAGAAAGGCCCTGAACAGGCAAGAGCCTCTGTAAAACTTCAAATAAATTGAGAAGTCTTGGTTTTGGGTTTTGGTGGGTTTTGTTTTGGTTTGGTTTTTTGTGAGCCAGGGTATGAGTACTGTAATTGCTGGGTACACAGCTAATATCGGTGTAGTAAAGTAGGAAAGTATTGTAGGCACGATACACTGAGCAGTCAAAAGCTCTTGTAGTTGATGTGCATAATGGTAGAAACACTTTCTGAAAACAAAGTACTCTTTCTAATATGTTATGCAAAAGTCAGGATTAATTAGCTTCTCCTACATGCTTGAGAATCAATTATCATTTTAAAAAGGAGGAGTTAATAAGAGCGGATATTATAAAGTTTATATGAGCAGCAATTTAGTGTGCATTTATGTTTACATTAATAATGTAAATAAAGGATATTAAAATGTGCTGCTGAGTAGTGTCAGATGTCTGAATGACATGCTAGCTTTATCTTATACATAAGATATTTTTTTCCTAAAATAAATTTTGTAATATTAAATTCGTGTCATACTAGCTTAGCATTATTAAGGTCTTTAAAATTATAAGAAACAAAAACATCATAGAAAACAGCAAACTCCACTCTGAAGGAAGAAGTGAGCACTGCTTGGAGGAACATCATAAAGCATTATAGAGTGATTTACATTAATAACACAAAAAAGTTTGGTTTTACATAAATCTTGCTATACTTCGTACTGGAAAGTTCTATTTCTAGATGGTATTGCCTAAAATTTCAGTTCCTCTTGTTAATTTATGTACTTTTAAAAATGCTTAATAGCTATGAAGTCTTTCAAAATGTCTGAAATTTTGTATTGCGTTAGTCAGTCAATGCAACAATCCAGCAGCTTTACCGAAATTACTTTACAGATAATACGGATATTCATCAGGAACAATATCTTGTTCCTGATATTCCTGTAAATAGCTGTCTTGAGTTTGACACCTCGCAAAATTATTTTCATAATACTTCATAATCACATAGAATTCAATTTATGTTGGCATCAGTAATGAGGAGATGAATTTTCCCAAAGTGGAACAAGGAAATGAAAATAAATAACCGCAACACCAGCTTTAATAATTGACATCAGTTTGTTTAATGGCTGAATTGTTTGAAGCTATTCAGCTTGTGCTCTTGTTTAATTTTCCACTTTAAATAAAAGTTCTAGTTTCAAATGCTGCTTTGTATTTGTATCTTATAGTTTCAATTTGGAAAGTACTTAACACAAAGAACAGCAAGCCCTCCCTTTTGTGTTTAAGCATTTATCATGTATCAGTCATTACTTGACATTTTCTGCGTTAATGTTTTGTACACTCTTAACTTGCTCCTGTTTTAGAAACCTTTCTCCCATGAAAGTGATTTAGGTTTTAGTAACTGACATTCTGATATATCCTTAAGTGTTATTTCTTGCAAGTACAATAAAATGTGTTTCTGTTTGCTGTTTGTGGTTGTTTCCTGGGCAGTAACTGCTTAATCATATTTTGGGGAAGCATGTTTGGCCCTTATTTGTACAAATCAAATTAGTTTTTCTTTCCATTTAATCTTGGAACTACACTTTTAAAATCTTAATTTTTCTTTGAGACGTCCTTTACAAAAATAGCTGTGACTGTATTATGTGACAGAATCTTCTCTTTATATTCTGCATCAATACAACAAAGCAAGTGTTCCTCTATAAAAGTCTGTAATATGTCAGATAGTCATTGTACGTGTTGAACTATTTGGCCAGCAGACGATCATTCTCATCAACTGATTATAAAAGTTTCCAAATGTTACTTTGTAAAGTAGGCACTAGTTTATCCATATAAAAGGATTTATGGAATAAAGATGACTTAATGGGAAATGGCATAATCTCCACATGTTAGATTTCAGTCCCTCAATTCAGTGAATTAATTGTCAGGGTTACTCTTGTTTACCTTTCTGAAGAAAGCAAATTGTTTTGATTTTGAAGGAAAATTCTAGATAAGTGCCACCTTTCTCAGCAAACTTGTGCATTTTGCTAAGCTTGTGAGTGTTTGGAAACTTCCCCTTTTGGAGTATAACATGCTTAGGCTATTTTTATTATAGCTGGAGCTGGTAGCCCTGTAATGTCATAACTGAGATATCCACATTGCAATACTTGGAGATTTTGTCTCTCGTAACTACTGAAATTCCTCATATTTAATACCTTGCTGAAGTTCCAGCCAAACTGAGTAGTCCTTCAGGAATTAAGTTGCATTTCCTGATTCTGTCAATATTTTAAGTGATTTAGACATACTCGGACCTTTGGAAAGAGTTGACATTTAGCAGTGGCTAAATCCATGGCCTTTGCGTCATGGATGTGTGCTTTGTTTTCCATTAAATCACTTAATCTCTGTGGGGGTGTATCTTTGCTCTTCAGTTAATATAGCTGAGGATTTGGTCTGACCTCCCCACGCATGCTGCTGCCTGAGCACCCTTTTCGCAGTGCTTGTGCACGGCCCTGCCCGGGTCTGCCCTGGGCCGGGCTGTATATCAGCGTGTTGCAACAGAGGAAAAAGGAGCCAGGCTTTCCTGGGGAGCTTTGCTGTTTCCTAGCTACAGCTACGCATTGCTGTGTGCTTCCCTGGTTTTATTTTTTCATTATTTGCTTTAAGACCTGTGCACACACAGAGCATTCATACCTTACTGAAAGAGTTTCTGTACCATCACCCAGCTTCTGCTTCATGCTGAGGAGGGAAAAGCTATCAGTCTCTGCAGTGCGAGGGATGAACCATAATAAATCCATACTTGGGAAAAGAGATTGGAAGAGAGGGATCTCAATGAGACGGATGTAGGGGTCAAGAGTCGGGGAGTAGTGGTGCAGGATCTTGGCATAGCACTGAAGGGCTGGGAGCTGCTAAGTACTGGAATTGATTGTGCTTCACTTCTACACCCAGATACACTCCAGCTTGTTTAGGATGAGAGACTAAATGATCCGTCCCCCTCTTCTTCAGCCCTGCTAAACGCCTTCCCTGCAAAAGGACAGTCTTGCCCATACTGCATACTGAGAACAGTCCTTGGCCTACATGGTGTCCTAAAGTGTGCCTGGGTATTGGTTGGAACAACAGGGGCCCAAACCAGACCAGGAGGTGCTGACAATTAAACAGTATGTGGGACAGTGCTTGAATTCATGCCCTGACCCACTGATCAGCTGTCTGACGTGAGTGTAGTCAGTCAGGACCAGAATGGGAACAAGGTACGGAGCAGGAAGCCACATGCTTGTTGGGAGAAGAGGAACATGGTTTCTTCTACCAGAAGATTTCTCAAAGGTGAATTTGGATCCAAACTGAAATAACCTTGCTGTTAGTTATTAGTGGATTTTGCTTTGATTGCCTCATCCCTCTCTGTTTTTATTCAAAATAAAGGTTGGCAGGAAGTTATGATTGCTCGGTCAGTTGAAAGTGGCAGTAGTCTGTGCAATAGCTTTATCGATGTGAATATAATTTAGCTGACTTCAGTTGACATTTTGTGTGAGCGCTGACTCATCATGCATTATCCATCTCATCACAGCTACCTTCCTTATTAATGGCACAGGATGGATCAACCTAGGAAAGAGTTGATGATGTGCTGTGGGCAAAGTATGAAGACTGTTTCATTATTTGCTCTTGAAGATAGGTACTAAATGAGTTGAGGAACTGCATAAATAGAAGGGAGTGAGTAAGACAACAAGGATACATTGAGGACTGTGTCCTGCCAGCCCTCCGAAGCAAAGCTGTTTACAGAGATCAGTCAGTCACTGTATCTGGTTTTATAAGCCACCCTGAAGCCTGAAGGCTCACCTACCAGTCCTGATTTTCATCTTCATACTTAGCTTTACAAGTATCTATTTTAGTATCTATTAAAGTAGCTCTGTGTGCAGCTTTACGCATGTAGAAGCTTTGCATGTAATATGCCTACTATTTTGGGAACTAGAAAAGAGTGGAAAAAGTATAGAAACTTGAAAATATGTTTATCCCTACTACCATGTATAGATTAACATAGCCATTTTCCAAGATCCCAGAGTAGCAAGTATTATTTGGATGTAATTATTAATACTTCCAGCATTTATCTTTAACTCCAAACTGTCTGTGGTGTGGCAGTTAGTAGCAGGACAGACTTTTAGAATCCAGATTGTTTATTTCAAACTTTGACATTTACAAATTTAAATCCTGCTATTCTCAAACTGTAGGTATTATGATTGATTTGTAATTATATTTAACAGTCCATAACTTAATGTTCTGGCTTGGAGGCGGGTGGTTTTTGAAGCCTTATTCTTGGTGTTTTTTTCTCTTTAAGTGGGAAAACCAGCATGTTTCCTAATATAACAATTTGCAACAGGATAGCTTTCCTATTTAAAAAAAAAAAAAGTGTGTAGGAGTGAATGGACTTCAAGTAAAAGCATAACAGGTCTGTGAGGAAGCTTAAGAAA